ATACGCGGCCGACGTGTGTGTTTTCGCTCCCCCGCGAGTACTCGCACGTGCCCGCGCGATCGATCCGCCAGAAGTGTGAACGGTAGTCTGCAAAACGGAAGCTTTCGCTGGAGCGTGTGCAAGGTGTCCTCCGGAGGATTCCCGGTGCCTGGATCCTCCTCTCTCTCTCGCGCGCTCTTAGTTTGATAACTTTGTCTCTCTCTCTCTCTCTCTTTTTCTCTCTGTGTATCTCACACTCGTACACATATATGCGATACACGGAGACCGTTTCTGTCGCGCTCAGTGGCTCGCTGTTGCCACTTCCTGGTTCGCCGCGGATGACAACCGGGTCTCCCCGCCTCCAGCGGGCCACCGTCTGCTCTCGCCGTTCTTTGCTCTATTTCCGGGTGTTTTCTTTGCCGATGCCCGCCCGCCGCCCCCGGACCCTGTTACACGGGACCTGATTTTTCACGTGTATTTTTGGAAAGAGTTCTACTTGCCGGTGGCTGGTATGATACACGGGACTCGAGTAAGTTCAGTAAGGTCCTCGCGTGTTTTCTTTTTCTCCCGTGGCCGGGGAACTTTTTGGTACACCTTTTCTCTACGGATTGTGAGTACGGTCGGGGTTTCGGGGGGAAGTTTTGCTGGTGGATAGTGGGTAGATGGGTTCGAGGTTCGAGTTGGTTTTCAGATTTGTGATCGATGATTTGGATCGTTTCGCTTTGAGTTCGATGTAGATATTTGGACAGAGTGGTTGAGATTTTTGGGATGAAGTAGTTTCTTGATGTGCATGGTTGAATCGTTTGGATTTTCTAATGCGGATTTTAATGGTATGTTTTAGAAGGTATTTAAGTTTAGAATCGTGTTGTTTTTTTTAATTGAATTTTTGCGTTGGATCGTCTTGAGTAATTTCCATTTTGAGACGTAGACTTTAATGCTGCGCTGCAGTAGAGGGAAATTGGATTGATTCTCTTTACGACTGATACGCTTAAAGGATTCCGGTTGTAAGAAAATTCGAATGATGATGAAAGATCCGAGAAAGGATTGGAAATCAAGGATTTCGCTCTTCCTCGGAACGGTCGGACGGTTCCGAATTGAAGACGTAGATTTAATCGATGGCACCACATTGCGCGAGATATTGAAACCTGGAAATCTACTCTGCGGAATTTAACCTCGGTTCGTGACGGATTTTCCCGAGAAATTCGATTTTTAATCTACACTCCACTGTCGGCGCTGTAAATCGGAGATGAAAATTCCACTCCATTTCCAAACGCATCCGTTCTGTTATGTTCCTACACCGCACGTTCCAACCTCTCCTAATTTCCAATTAAAATAACACACAAGAAACTAGAATCCAATTCCATTAAAAACGAATGCATCGTCGAACTCTAATTAAAACGTCTCCATTAATATTCTACACCTTCTGATCTACTCAATCCATTTCACTACAAACTCGCAATAATTGAAAAGTTTATCTACACGGCGATTTACAAAATTCTACAAAATCCTCTGACCCATAGAACTCTTAATTCACGCGCGAATAACTTCGTAATCATTGAAGAGTAAGAGCCGACTGTACGCGAGGCATTTTTAAATATAATCTGCTTCAACACTGAAACTACCGGATAGGTCAAAATAATTCATTCCTTTCGATTAAAAACATATGCTTCTCTGAGAAATGATTAAAGAAATCGATACAGCGATACGCAAAACCGAATTGTAAATCAATTGACGTCGACAGACTATTGGAGTTTCTATAAAGTGAATTTGAAAAAGTCAATGCAACCGCTCGGTAGTTTTAGCGTTAAAAGAGAGAAGATTTCGCGAGAATCCATTTTCCCGCGAGAGACAAATCGTCGCCTATTTTCTCCCGAGAGTCGCCGATCAAATGTATCCAGCGAAATGACTCAGGAGTGGCACCTGCGACCGTGCAATCCGCGGATCCTTGAGGCAGTCTGCGCGTCGCGGCCGCTTGATCGCGGCAATCGACATAATCGGCCTCCAGTGGCACACAAAACGCATCGCAGATGTGCACGGTTCGCGGCCACGGTGCATCCGGACGGTGCAGGTGCGAGAGGCATGCGTGAAACGAGGGCGTCGCACGCTCGGTCTAGCCTCCGCTATTCCGCGTACACCGGAGCTGAGAACCTTCTTCAATTAATCCATTCCCCCATACTAAAATACACACCACCGCGCTACGTGCAGTTCATACGCGCTTAGGCATTCGGTGGAACCTGATCAATAACTTCCCATTATCATCGTAATTCGAATACATTGCACGGCGCATGCTACTGAAAGTCATCCTTTCTAAGTGCATACTTGAATTAATGTAGCTTCTCCATGGGATTTCGGTTTATGTGAATCTGGTCGTAGTCGAGGTAGAAAATTTCGAAAAATTTTAGTAGAAATTTATTTAGAATTCAATAGACCTTCAGTGTAGTTTTTTGAAGTGGATTTGTTGAAGTGGAAGAGATTTTATTGGAATTTTGGTTAGTTGAAAGAGAAATAAAAAGTGAACTGGATGTTATTCGAAGATTGTAGCTTTGCTATTTTTATTCGACTGCACGTGTTAACCAAAACTGTAGAAAAGTCGGAGCATCGATTCGCGTTTTTCGGCCTCGGGAAACAAAGATCGTTCTTCGGGGAACAAGTGTTCGAATATTTTTGACCGGTAGCGTATACACTGGCTCCTTTCGAGCTCGGTTGCACTGTGTCTGACCATTGTCCGCCGCTTCCACTTGCGCCAAACATTCACGCTGCGGAATTATCCCCGTATCACCGACCTGACTGGCTTCTAACAATTAAAATACAATATCCATTATCATCGACACAAGTAGGGATACCCATCAATGCACAGACACGAGAATTTCACAATCCCTAAACGCAATATCTAAAAGAACTTTCTTCTGAGAATTCGAATACTAGTGATACTCTGCTTTTAACAGTATTCACAAAGATTTGCATAAGTAGAAGTACTTGTCAACGTGCAGACATAAAAATTGTACAATCCTCTAACACATTACTCAAGAAATTCAAATATAATTAATATCAGTAAGACTTATTTCTAACAGTGAAAATATAATTATTCCCCTTCCATTAAAAATATTCGCCAAAACAGCACAAGTAGAAGCCTCCATCAATGCACAGACAAAAATTATACAATCCTCTAACACATTTTTTAAAAAATTCAAATTAATATCAGTAAGACTTGTATCTAACATTGAATATTCTTAATCGCCTTCCATTAAAAATATTTTCGAAAACATCAGCACAAGTAGAAGCATCCATCAACGCACAGACAAAAATTATACAATCTTTTAACACATTATTAAAAAAATTCAAATACAATTAATAT